GAGGGGAGAGAGAGCCCAGCACGAGAGGAGAGAGGGGGAGAGAGAGCCCAGCACAAGAGGAGAGAGCCCAGCGCGTGGGGAGAGAGGGGGAGAGAGAGCCCAGCACAAGGGGAGAGAAAGCCCAGCGTGACAGGATGGAGATGGACAGTTAGCCCGGCATGGTGGGGAGACAGCAAGACCCGAGGCGATGTCAGCGAGGTGGGCCCAGCAGTGAAAGATGGTGGCTGAGGATCGGTGAAGTTGGAACTGGTGAGGTGGTGGTGTTTCTGAGCCACCTCAGAACTCAAACGTAGATGGACTCCTCTTTAAGCTATATCTTCATTTCCTTTTATTCTTAAAGTATCAAAATGGCACTGGATTATGACAACAAATGAAATCTTTTCACTGCTTTTATTGTATTTTACTGTAAATCACACGTGGCAATAAATAAATCATTCTTTCACTTAAAAAAAACATTTTGAAATTACACATTAAAAATGCACACATAACTTTGTGGTTCTGACCCATGGTCATGACAAAAATTTGGTTATTAAGTGTTTAATAGGTGCATTTATGACTCTACCATAAAACCTACGTGCATTGTTACTATTATAAGAGATAATTATTTAGGTTTACACTGGGAATAGGAAATCAATCTGGGTTAACATACCTTCCTAAATTAGGAAGAATTGAATGTTTGAAATAGATAGATAGAGTCTGCAAGATGGACGACTTTCACCTTGCTTAATTACTGAAACAGACAACGAAGGAAGCACGTAGCCTGAAACTTCAAGACCCAAGAAATATCAACACACACACACACACACAACCTGTTTCCTCTTGGCACTGCCAAGAAGCTTGAAAGAGGCTGGCAGCAGACCAGAAGGCAAACAGTGAAGTTTGAGCCTCTCCGCTATAGCAAGAGCCTCCCCCATCTTTAATCGACATATGAAGCTTCAGACTTAATCAGTGAGTTCTCCAATGGTTAAGGATATAAGGAGTCAAGCCAGTTAGCTAAGAAAGGTCACAACTGCTTTCATAGCAAATCTCAGCTGAAACAGCATGACTATGAGACGAAGATGGTGGTATAGTGGTGCTATCACTAGACTAGTAACCTATAAATCCCTGGCTAATGTTCTAGGGGACAGGGGTTCAAAGCCCAATAGGGGCACTGATGAAATCTGAATTCAATTTAAAAAGGAAACCTGGAGTAGCAAGATAGCTTAATGATGACTATGTCAATTGCTGTAAAAGTCACAAATGCCTTTAAATAAATAAATTCACCATCCTTGTGACCCCAGACCCCCAGCAATCTGGTTGACTCTTAGCTTCCCTCAGGACAATTAAGGATGGATAATCATTGCTGTGGCATGATGCAGGTTTTTTCCTTAACATAAAAGGCCTAAAAATAGGGAAATTCTGACAGTAGGTCTAGAATCCATCATCCTCTATTGGGAGTACATGGAATTCTGGACTCAGCTGTCTTGTTTTCCAAGATTCCCATTTATTGTTCATCCATGTCCAGAAAGTGAACTGACCGACTCATACAAATACTGTGGCTACAAGAGGAGGTCAGAGACTGGGTATTCTGGGGTTAGCAGCTCACCTCATGACTCCCCAAAGTCTAATGAACATCAGGATACTTTTGGGCGATGGGGGGAGTAGTGAGGGAATGATGCCTCTTGTGGGGTAACCATACCTACAGGTCTCCTTTTGAAAATTTACCCCCTCAGAAAGCAGTGGAGGCTGGGCCTTGAACTTGTTTGAGACAGATTTATCAATAGACAGGGGAGTCCAAAATAAAACAAAAAAAAAAACTTAGATACTTAAACCTCAGGGACAGGTCACCTATCTCCACTTTAAAATTCCCTGCATGGTTGTTTCTGGAGCTTCCTTCATCCTGATATTAAGCTCTTTTAGAGCAAACACGTGACTCAGAGAATGCTAAACAAACAGCACATTTTCAGTCTGATTGAACCTGCACACTTTGTCGGACCTTTTGGATCATTCTGTCCTCTCTGACACGGACTCCTATCATTCAGCAACAACAGCTTCTATTACACTGCTCCACATCCCCCTACCCACCAATAAATTAAATTGTTTACCTCAAGGATTTAAAAGGTCTCACTTAAATACGTGAACAAATTTCTAGATACCCCGTCGCTACCCACAAAAACTCAAAAATGAAACTAAAACTATGCCTTCCCTCTTCCTGATGCGCACAACATAGAAATACAGGTCAAATATAAAGCTATTCATTGTTCTTCCATTTTAGAACCCAAGTTTCTAAACAATAATTATTACCAACCTCCATCACATCAGGTTCTTGATATTTCTTTCAATGGGAAGCTTTTCATTTCTACTCTGTTGAGACCCCACATGATTTTGAACACCTCCATCAAATTTTCGTCACAGCCTTTCCTTTTCTTAGGAAAGCAGCCCCAGGTTACACGAACACATGAATTAGGAGTAAATTCAGGCCCTGTTCTGCCATTTGGTAACTAATCGGCCGATCTGATTCTGGCCTCAACTCTACCTACCTGTCTATAACTACCCATTCACTCCCTCCCTTACCCAAAAAAAGAAACACTGGAATATATATTAAATAATCCAGCCTGCACTGATCACTGGGAATAAGTTCCACAGGCTACTGACCGTCAAAGAACAAAACTTCTCATTTCAGTCATAATGGGGAGACTCCTAATTTTTAGTTAATGCCTCTTGGTCCTAGAGTGCCATTTAAATGAGACACATTGTGCCAGCCTCCACTCTGTCAGTCCCTTCAGGATCTTCTATGGTTCAATAAGGCCACATCTCATTTCACTCAACTCCAATTGCAGGCACCCAGCTAGCTCAACCTCTCCTCATTGGCTCATCTCTTTATCCCAAGAATTGGTTGAGTTAACCTGCTCCAAACTGCTTCTAATATAATCATATGCTTCAATTAAGAAAAAAAAACGTATACAGTGCTGTGGATGCAGTCTCACCAATTGTAGCAAAATGTCTCCACTATTATGCTTGATTCTTTGTGCATTAAATGCCTACATTCCACTTGCCTTCTGAACTAGTTGCTGTTCTTGCATGTTCTTTATAATTCATGTCCAAGGACAATTTGTGCAGAGTTCTGCAATCTCTCTCCATTTAAACAACATGTTGCTTTTCTATTCCTCCTGCAAAAGTGGTCAATTTCACACTTTTTCCCCAATTATATTCCACTCTATCCTTGTCACTAAAATCCTTCATCCTTGAAACCATGCTTGAAAATTTTTCTCTGTACTCAATGCTTTTATGTCCTTTCTATAGTGTGGCACTCAAAACTGGATACTCCTCTTTAGATGAAAGCAATCAAAAAAAACATTTGCCATGACCTTCCTTCAGTACACTTCATACCAATTGATAAAGTCCTGGATGCTGTATTAACTTCTCTCTCATCCTGCCATGCCACCTCAAATGATTTATGTACCTAAATGCACCCTCAGGTTCCTGCACCCCTTTAGAATTCTTGCTTTTACATTATAACCGCTCCCCATTCTTCCTTTCCTACCAAAATGAATCACTCCCACATTTCTCTGCATTAAAGTTTTTCCACCACTTGCACATCCATTCTAACCTCCAAATGTCCAACTCCTCACATTCTACAATGCTTTCAATTTGTGTATCCTGCACACTCAATGTCATTGATAAAGATTCATAAAAAGCAAAGATCCCAACATTCACTCTTTTACATCTCACTACATTGCTTCCCGCATTGCAAAAAACAATACCACTCATCACAACTGTTGCCCGTGACTCAACCAACCTAGTGAACGATGACAGAAATAGCTGCAGGAAGTCAGGAGGTCTGGTACTGCCTGTGGAGAGAAAGCAAAGTTAACGTTGAGTCCGGTGTCCCTTCTTCAGAAGTGTACATGCTGCCACAGTCTTTATTTATTCCATGGGATTCAGTTTTGTTGGCAAGTCTTTCTTGTGCACTTTATTACAAACCTTTTGGAACTGACGTACATCAGTCGCATTACCTTCAGCAATGATCTGTTAACCCGTTAAAAAAACAGTTAAGCATATTTGCCCTTAAGAAATCTGTTCAGCATTTTTGTTAAATTAAGCTACATTTATTAAAGCCAAAATAATTTTGATCTGGATAATCTTCCATTCAAAAGCTTTACCATTCACAAGCTTAAAATGCTGGGCTGGCCTTAACCCATCACGCCTGTTTGAATTCGGCTGCAACATTTGCAGTTCTCAGGTCCTATAGCACTGTTACTGTATATATGGAGGACTAGAAGATTATAGCCAGTGCCTCCACAACTGACACTCTCATTTTCCTCAGATGCTTCTGATTTTGCTCTGACTTTTCATCCTTAAGTACAGCTAGACTTCTTAGTTGGCACAGTCTAGCTTTGATCTGATGGTAACAAAACGGTTGTGGAACCTTTTCGTAGTACCTTTAGTTGGTTCATGGAACTACAGGGTGCCAACAATTCATATCGAATACATGCCATTCTAGTGAGGGGGGACTTGGGGGATACAGTGAAATTTAAAGTAAAACACAAAATGCAGAACACGCAAGAAACTCAGCAAGTCTCGTAGTGTCTGTGGAGAGAGAGGTACAGAGTTAATGTTTTGGGTCTAATGTGACTCTTCTCTAGAAATGTTCAGTTTTGAAGAAGAGTCACATTGGGCTCAGAACATTAACTCTGTTTCTCTCTCCACTGATGCTGCCCTACTTGCCGAGTTTCTCCAGCACTTACTATTTTTTAATTCAGATCTCCAGCATCCGCAGTATTTTGTTTTTATTTGAGGTGGTGAGTTGGGGGGGATACATGGAAAAAAAAACAAATTATTTAGTTTCCTGCCCTCAAAATTTTGAGCTTTTATCACAACAAAAAAAAAATGTTCTACTCCAACAATAGAGAGAAACACAAGTTGGTTTGTTTTTTGAAACTATTTATTTTCTTTGTGGGTGCTTCATCTAGTGTACACATTCAAACAAAATAGACAAAACATATGTATATGGCTCTGCTCTGTTTTAATATGGATTCAGTCAATTTTATCCAGATGATTGAAACAGTGAGATGGATGATCCATGGCACTGAACTGTGCAAGACATTTCTTTCTCTTGTTAAAAATACTTTTTTTTTGTGGGATATTTACAGCAGCTTCCTCTTCTCAAACTCCTGAAAAAGAGGTTAAAATAAATTAAAGTGGCACATCTCATTCAGCAAAAAACAATTTCAAACTCCAAATGTTTTTTGTTTTACAAAGAAGAATGTTTTTGATTTAGGCAAACATTCTGTAATACCCCTCCTTTCTATGAGTTTAGCAGCAACAGGAAAGATTTCTGGTTGTCCAACAGATAATCATGCAGATACAGAAGGTTCCTCATTCACCCCTACTTTATTCCAGCAGAATGATTTTAAGGTTCTCCCCGCTCATTACCCCAAACACCTCTGAAAATGAGTCATAGTTTTCAATCTTTGTATTTTATCCATTTGATATCTTGATTTGATTTGATTTATCATTATCACATGTAGCTAGGTACAGTGAAAAGTTTTGTTTTGTGCGCAGATTAGCCAGATCATACCACACAGAGATCATAGGGTGATAGAACGGAGCAAGGAATACAAAGCTGTGGCTGCAAAGGTGCACAAAAAGATCAACATTTGAAATTTGAGAGGTCCATTCCAAAGTCTAATAATAGCGGGGAAGAAGCTGCTTTTGAACGTGTTAGTATGCGTGTTTAAACATTTCTATCTTCTGCCTGACAGAAGAGGTTGGAAGAGATTATAACCAGGATGGAAGGAGTCTTTGATGCTGTTGGCTGCAGTGATTAAAACGAGAATAAATGTTTCCAATTTATCCTAACAATACCTTTCATTAGGGGGAGATGATGGCACATTGGTAATGTCACTGAATTAGTAGGCCAGTGCCCCAAGTTAATATACAGGGAACATCGGTTCAAATCCGACCGTGATAAAGGGTGGGATTTGAAGTCAATAAAAGGGTGTAATACAAAGTTAGCCTAAAGGTAACCATGAAACCACTGTCGATCGTCTTAAAAACCAACCTGTTTCACGTCCTATAGTGAAAGAAATCTGTCAATAATTATCCAGTCTGGCCAACCTGCAACTTCAGATCCACAGTAATGTGGCTGACTCTTAATTAGGGATGGAATACTGGCCTAGCCAATGATGCCCATAGTCCAAGAGCTTCCCCTCAGCCTATTGAATCTGAGTTTACAACATTAAATTTGACGCCCGGTCTCTCTCAAAACGGTTTCTCTGACCCACATATTATTTCTGAAACAACTCCAAGGAGGCCAGTATCCTGTCTCCAAGTCACCCTTTATTTACAAGGAACCTGACCAGCTCGCTCACAGCCAATCCCTAAAATGAGGGGTCTCTGTTTATAGCTGTCAGCCAGAGCTCCCTGACTGGCCCAGGGTAACAGCCCCAATCAGGGATCTCACACAAGGGATGTGTAGGTTAGGGGTTGGGTCTGGGTGGGTGCTCTCAGGGTCGGTGTGGACTTGTTGGGCCGTAGGGCCTGTTTCCACACTGTAGGGATTCTATGATCTATGAACACTGAACTGCAAGCAGAATGCCGCATCACACTGACTAACCCAATCACGCTCCCTGTATCTGCAGCCTGACTCTATGATTCTGGCCTTCTGTGTTTCCACATTATGCTCCACGCCTTAGGGAGCCTATGCCCCAAGCTCCGGAACTCACTCCCTAAATCCTTCCACTTTGCTTTCCCCTCCCCTTCAGGACACTCTGGCTGCCTGGTGGCTCAGTGTTACACTCGTGAAGCACTTTGGGTCATTTTGCTACGTTCGAAAGTTCTACATTAAGTTCGAGCTGTTGTGGCTGACTCAGCTTGACTGATGGTCCAGTGACGGTACAGATCACACCGGGGATTAATGTTGCTAATTTCGGGAAGGCAGAACCGACCCAGTTTACATTGCAGCAACCTCCACAGAAAATTGTTTTTGGGTTTTTTTTTGGGGTGGGGGGGGCGAAAGAGCTATGAGGGTATGATAGATAGATCACCATTAAAACAAAACACACACGCATGCCTCTAATAAGGGGTATTCATCAAAGTGATGAGACAGAGTGCCAAGAAATACATCAAGCATCACAGGAATATATGCTGCTCAGCAGGTTAGACACAGCTGGTGTGATGCATGATCAGTGTTGGTTGACTGCCATAGGAAGGTGCGAGAGTGCTAGGCATTACTGCCGAAGGACAACTGAGAAACAGGTAATGCAACTGAGCAGCTGGATGTATCACAACAGTGGGCCTTTCAGCTGAATGCCTGCTAACACAACATGTTACCCAGAGGCATGCAGAGAAGAGAAATTCAAAAGGCAGATAAGACAAGATTAGGAGAAGCAGTATAAATAAAAGATTATATGCAGCGTGCGGCACAATATTTATTCCATTCTTTGAAAACAGTGGTTGATCATATTGCTAATTTTGTAGGAAACACAGGATATAAGTTTAAGTCAAGATGTTTTATTTTTAAGATGTATGTATAAATAGCATGTTGGAAAAGAAATGGCATTGCTAACGAGCATGTTTAGTTAGGTACTAAGTTTAGACAATTTACAGAAGAGAAAGTGCTCTTGCCTGTTGTAAACTTGACTTTTAGACAAGGCAATTAGCATGAAACAAAAATTGCCATTAATCACCAAAAGACTTCAACCTGACTTCCTTAAATACAAACAAGGAACAAGCGTAGGCCACTTGGCCCTTCGAGCCTGCTCTGCCATTAAATAAAATCATGGATGATCTAATTTTAACCTCAACTTTACACTCCTGCATACTCCAAATAGTTCTCCATCACCTTGGTAATCTCCTTTAATTCAATCTAGAGTAAACCAAAGAACTGTGCTGCTGAAGACCTGAAACAAAAACAGAAATTGCTAGAGAAACTCAGCAGGTCTGGCAGCATTTGTAGAGAGAAAGCAGACTTAATGTTAAGTTCTGAGGAAGGTTCATTGGACTCAGACCTGCTGAGTTTCTCCAGCAATCTACCTACCTCTACATGCTGACTGAATGTGATGCATATTTCCAGCAGAACCTGTCTTCATTTCGGTTTTGCAGCATCATGCAATGTTTTCCTCAGTCTAATCTATATGAAATCCTGATGTGTTACAGAGTCATAGAGTCGCACAGCATGGAAACAGATCCTTCAGCTCAACCACTCCATGCTGAACATAATCCCAAACTAGTTCCAACTGCCTACTCCTGGCCCATATCCGTCCAAACCTTTCCTATTCATGTACTTAGCTAAATATCTTTCAAACGTTGTAACTGTGCCCACATCCATCACTTCTTCAGGAAGTTCATTCCACACGTGAACCATTCTCTATGTAAAAATATTTTCCCCTGATGGTTTTAAAAATCTCTCTCACCTTTAAAATATGCCCCTAGTCTTGAAATCCCCCAACCCAGGGTGCTCTGGAATTTTCTCTTTGTTTGGGAAGGGAGGGAAAAAAGTAGGGACCTTATGGAAAGACAACGAACTTGACCAGTTTCCCTCTTCACTATCCAATTTAACAGTCCTTTCCGGGATCAGTTCAGTTGGGAATGTTGGACGGGACAGTGATTGTGAGGTTCCACAGTCGAATAACTTGCTGAGAAAAGCCATGTCTGGACACACAAAGGGAAAACAAGTTGCTGGGGTGTGGTAGGTGAAAGTCCTCGACAACAACATGACAAAAAAGTGTTCCATCACTCTTAAACATTACATTTTCAGGCATTGTCAAAACTCTCTTCATAATTAACTCTCCCTCCAAATAAAACTCGCTTTCAAGAATTATACAGTGCCACGGCAATAAATATAATCAGAAAAACTAATCAAAACAATTAAATGCCACTTCCAACAAATTATTTCATCTTTAACCTGTTCTTCCCACATTTAGTTTCATTGTTGAATTTAGAATATAAATTAGTATATGTGTAAAAACAATTACTGCTGCCTACCAGTTGTAAATATATTCTAGTCCATTGAAATATTTTCCTGTCCTTCATCTTATTGCAGTGTTATATTTGTGTTTGTCTAGTATTCTCTCAGGTAAGATAGGAAAAATAAACTGCAGGTCAGCAGCAGTAAGTACAGAATTTTTTTTAATGTTCTTTGCTGAATGCTTAAAAATGACACTATCACATGTTACATGTTTAGAAAAAGGAGCAAACCAGATTTATTTTTCCTGACGTCTTTTCTAGCCCTTAGCTCAACACCAGACTTTTCTCAATACATAAAACAAAATTCACTTGCCTTGGTCCGTTCTGCATTCATTTTTCCCTTCTCGGCAAGTTTTATTATTTATGCGAAACCTACAGCACAAAAGGGAGGGTGTTCTGCCCAAGTAATCAATGCCAGAAACGAGCCATGATACACAAGTGTTTAAAACACTACTTTGACAAGCAGCTCGCACTCTGTTCAGAGAACCCGACTGCTTAATAAACAATATCCTGAAAACTGACACTGATGGTGGAAATGTGGCTCAGGGGCAGATCAGTCCTGTCAGGTATGATTTTGATTTGGATTTGATTTGATTTATTACTGTTGTGTGTACTAAGGTACAGTGAAAAGCATTGTCTTACGTGCTTCACAAGCAGATTGCACTGTACAAATGCATCAGGGTAACAGAACAGAGTGCAGGATACAATGTTACAACTGCCAAGAAGGTGCAGAGAGAGAGATCAACATTAACATTAAAGAGGTTCGTTCAAAAGTCTGATAACAGAGAGGAAGAAGCTGTTCTTAAATCTATTGTACGTGTATTCAAACTTCCATATCTTCTGCTTATGGAAGAGAGTGGAAGAGAGTATAACCGGGGTGGGAGGGGTCTTTAATTATGCTGGTTGCTTTCCCAAGGCAGTGGGAAGTATAGATGATGTCACATGAAGATACGAGTTGAAGCTTTAAATATGCAGGCATTAGCCTTAGCTGGTGGCAGCAGTGTCGGATTTAGAATGTCACAGGTTCATGAAAAGGAGAGAAATGCACGTCAGAGGCTCCAGTACATAACCAGCACTGAAGCCCCAGGGCAGTACTGAGAAAGTGCTGAGCTCAAAGAGGGGCTCCCATTCTCATGGAATATTAAACCGATGTGACCTGATGTTCTGTCAGAGACTGAATGGTACCATTCAGATGAAGAGGAGA